GCCATCTTTTGCACAACTGTATGCTCGAATTCACTCCCTGCCACCTAGAAGTAGGTCTCTAATTTTTACTAACTGCAAACAGAGCTGGAAAAATAGAGGGGTATTTTAGGTCCACATATGTTACACATGGCTGTTCATCACTGGAAGACTGTGGCATGTGGCAAGTTGAATGGGGATACCAGACATTTGAAGCCATGGGTACAGCATTCCTGGAATATGACCTGTAATCAAATGCAGCTGCCATCCAGCGCATGGTAAAGAGAAGGTGACATCAGTACATGAATGTGTGTTGTTATGTGCCATAAAGCCATCATCTCCAACTTATGGTGACCCAATGAATAAGCAAGCTCCAAAATGTCCTGTCTTCAACTGCCCTGCTCAGTTCTTGCAAACTCAAACCTGTGGAGTCTGTCCATCCCATACTTGGTCTTCCACTAGTCTTTCCTGCTGCCTTCAGCCTTTTCCAGTATTATTGTCCTTTGCAGAGAATCCTTCCTTCTCATGATATGCCCAAAGTACAATAGCTTCAGTTTCAACATTTTTGCCTCCAGAGATAGATCAGGCTGGATTTGATCTAGGAACCACTTATTTGTCCTTCTAACAGGCCAGGGTATCCACGAAGCTCTCCTCTCCAGCACCACATTTCAAACAAATCAATTTTTCTCCCTCTCAGTTTTCTTTACTGTCAAGCTTTCACACCCACACAGGCTGACTGGAAATACAAGAGTGTGGATGATCTTGGTCTTTGTCTCCAGTGACATTTCCTTACACTTGATGATCTTTTCTAGTTCCTTCATTGCTGGTAAGATTTCATTTCAGTGGAACAGGAGAAAATACCCAACCAAAACTGCTGCTCCCAGAATATTCACTGGTTGGAATATTATCATAATCCAAAATTGTAATCCCACCCACCACCACCTGTTTACAAATACAGGAGGGAACGTTTTGTTCAGGCTTCCTCTGTCTTTCTCTGCACCTGGGGCATAGACAGGGGAAGCCTGACCAAAGGAATCCTCCCTGCTGTGTGCCCATAGGCTGTTTTTTTAAAAAAAGACCCAAGAAACCAATGAATTGATTCATGATTCATCAGGCCACTGGGAGGTATTTCATGGTTTGTGGGATGTCAAGGCTGACAACCCACGAACCAAGATGGAGCACCATTTTGGTGCTTCCTCTCCATCTCTAGTGTGGACAGTAGCTGGTAGCAGAATGGTTCAAAAAACAGAGAGAGGTGAAAATCAAGTTGTTGTAACTTGGAAGCTCCCCCTGTAATCTAAATGTTATGACAGTCGTGGACCTCCTGGTTGGTTTGGGGACAAACAGTTGCCTCCCACCCTCAACTGCACTCCCACAGCTGCCACACTGAGGGATAATAGTGATAACCCAATTTGCAGAGTTGTTGTCAGGGAGCACCAAGATAGTACACTAGAAATTTTTTGAGCATTTTAACCTGGAGGATGAGGATATGTTCGATAAATAGTACACACTATTGTAATATACTCCATGCAATAAGGAGATTGATCCTACAAGCCCCAAATGTTACAGGAAACAGGAGTGGGGGAATGGCACATAAGCCAGTTTAAAAAATATTTGTGATTGCTTAATATACTGTTTCATGCTAATGTGCTTTACTCATTTGTCTCTTGTGGGGAGTAGATGTGGAAGGAAGAAACCCAATCCTCCAGCAGAACCAGTCTGTCATTTAGTCAAGCTGTTCAGGCTTGAACACTTCTGTTTTTCTTCTTCCTTAAAAAACAATAGTACATGAAGAGTTTTAAAATATCTATTTTCTCCATTATAGTGTTTTTTCTCCAAGTAATGTTGTTACTGCATTTAGTTACTGATGCCTAAGTGATATATAAATCTGTACATCAACAGAAAAAATGAAGAGTTGCCTGGCACAGAGGCTGGTCCTCCACCAGGGCCAGCCCAAAATATTTTCCTAAACATCTTATCAAGACCTGCAATGAGTTGACTCTTACTTTCATTGTGAAGGCAGAACAACATCCTCCACTGCACCGAGGGCAGCCAACTAGCTTAGAGGTTACAAGAGTGTACACACAGCACTCTCTGTTCCTCACTTTCTTAAAATCTCCTGTCTCAGGGCCAAAAAAAGAAAGAAATGGAGGCTACAATTAGAAGCAGAGCTGACTAAAGTAGTAAAGGAGATGTGACTATCCTTCAGTGTTTTTCCATATATTGGCAAACTACAAATTATCTTTCATTTGGTATTTCCTCCTAATTATAAAGCTGCCCATCTTGCCTGTTTTGGCCCTCACTCTGTCCATCTTTTCCCTGTCCATCTTCTCCATAATATGGATTATTCTGACCTTGGTTTCAAGGGACAATCTTTGCAATTCCCAGCCCCCATTTTTTTTTTATTTTGAATGACAAAGAGACATTTTTGGGAAACATGCAGACAACAGGTTTGTAGAGCAAGGGCTTGGGACTTGGAAGGAAGCTTTCTAGTTTGCATTCTGCAGAGCAAGCATGGCAACACAGACAGGTTAAAGGGTGTCTGTGTTTCTCTGTTGTATGTGTTGCACTCACTCACACTTTTGCTTCACTGTTTCGTTAAGTCCAAAACAGCCCTTCAAAATATTTTGGCACAGAGAGACTACAGCCACATCCCAGCTGTTCTTGGTTCTGCCCACCCCCCGCTGCCGCTGGCATCCATATTATAGATCATGTGATCATCTAGGACTAATGCTGTTTTCCACTCCTCTGTGGAGCGCTTCTTGGACTGTGCTTTGGCAACCACACTGCGCTGCATTCTCCAGATGTGAGCATGGAGTGTTCTTGCATAACCTGTGCAGAGCTTTTAGAGTCCTAAAATCCCACAGTCAGGAAGTCAGGATAAAGGTTATAATCCAAAGAACTAACTTTTCCATGCTGCGGCCAGCACCCTCCGTCTAGATGTAGAAAGTGCAGTATGCAATGGCTGAAGTGGAAGATGTAAAATAGACTTACTCCATCCTGGTTCGAAAGGCCCGAGAGAATGTTATCTAACCCAAAGCCTCCCACTGAACTTCATGGCTGAATAGGAATTAAATGCATGATAGAATAATAAATCCATGTATTTTATTTTATTGTGCGGAATGGTATTTTAATAAGACTCCCATAGAAACCAAAGTAAATATTGTGAATTCTTTTTCTGGTAAACTCTGCTTCAAAGCTCAATAGTTGTTCTGGGTGTGTGAGAAAAATTTTCTCAACTCCCAAGAGCTAAGAAGTGAGGAGGGATGATATATGGGCTTGCACTGCTGCTTTGGAGTTTTTGAATTAAAAGTTTCAGAGCCTGGGAGCAATGAGCTAGCCATTCATTCCAATGGTTGACTAGGATTCCTGCTGCTGACTAGGGTACCAGACAAAATGGTAGAAGAATGGGACACTTTTATTAGACCACTAAAAACAAGCAATTAATGCAAACTTCCATGGAATAAAAATTCCCACTTTTTCAGGCAAACACCAATAACTTGTAAGTAGTGTAAGAAAATTATAAATGTCCTGAAAATACATGGCAAAGTTGGCCAGGCAAAATCTTTTTATGGTGTATTTAAAGCTGGTTGCAGGCAGGATGTGGGGGTGTGATGTTTGATTTCTAGTAGTCTGATAAAAGTGTCACATTCTTTTATAGTTTTGTGTTATGTAATGACCACACAGCTTCCTTTGGATTTTTTTTAGGATACTAGACATTCCCATACCTAATCCAGGGGATAAACCTGAAGAGACTTCTGAACAGCATAACCTGATCTATTTAAATCTAGATAGCAAAGGAGAAGCAAAGGAAATCAAGAGTGTTTAAATCATCTTTAATTCATTATATTTGCTCAGTAGGCTGATGCTGGAAATATTTTCCACCTCAGTATCTCTTTTTTATCATCTTCTCAGGAAAAAAAACTGTAAAGAGAAAGAAAAAACTGTATTTGGTCTTTGCAACCTGAATTGTATATGTTCATTTCATTTAATTAAAAATAGTTATGTGTTTTCTGTCATGAACATGTGGTGTACAAGAGAAATAGCAGGTTACTCACCTGTAATTGTAGCTCTTTGAGTGGACCTCTGTCATTCACACCCTGGGTGATCCATGCCTGCGCGGAGCATTGTTGGAATATTCTAGAGCTTCTGCGGTAGCAAAAAACCCACATTAGAATAGACCCCTCCCCCTCCATATAAGTACCTTGGCACCAAGACTATTTCTTCAGTTATGTCAACCACCATGAGAAAGAAATCCGCATAACATGACAGTGGGGAGGACGGGCGGGATGTGTGAATCACAGAGGTCCAGACATCAGGGAGAGGCACACCACATAGGAAAACTGTAGAAGTTGCTAATGCCTTAGTAGAATGAGGGCAAATCACCTGAGGGACCAGCTGTCGAGTGAGCTGGTAGACAAGGTGAATAGTAGAAGCAACCCAGCGAGAAATTCTTTGTGAAGTTACTTGCAAGCCCTTAGTAGGAGGCTGATGACTTACAAAAAGGTGCAGCGAACACCGAAAAGACTGTGTGCGTGACAAATAAAAGGCAAGGGGCCTGTGATGTTCACCTCCTTGAGGTGCCTACATTTTGTGCCCTCGCAAAGGATCCAGTCGTTTTCCTTTCACTACCAACAGTGGATAACCTCAATCCACAAAATAAATGATGTTTGATCAGACACTTGTATGGTGAATGCAAACAAAACTTATTTATTAAAGTGAAGCCAATTTAATAATCACAGAAGTTCTTCAGATGTACATACTATTCTCTTGCCATATAATTTCCACCTTCTCTATCTATTAATCTTAACCAGTCTCTAACTCAATCTTTATCTCATCTGACTCTGACTCTCTCACTGACTCCCTCTCCTGACTGACTCCTCCTCTCAGGCTCCACCTTTTAACCTCTCTCAACTCCACCTCACCACCATATTTGCATAGAACATGAATAATACATGACATACCTAACAAAGGGTGAATGCTACAGGGCCTCTTGATGTCCAGAGTGTGGAGGAGCCATTCTTGAGTTGAAGATGGTGATGGAAAAAAGGAGGGGAGGACCAATGGTTGGGAAAGATGAAATTGAGATGCAACTTTATAGAGAAAGGAGATGTCCACAAATAGTTTGACTTTGTCAGGAAAGAATTGTATATAAGGGTAATCATGGCACAAAGCCGCTAAATCACGTGCTCGATGAGCTGATGTGATTGCTACAAGGAAGACTGTTTTGAAGGTAAGCAGGTGGAGGTCTGTTGAAGCTAATGGTTCAAAGGGAGGTTTAATAAGTTGTTGCAAGACAAGGGTCAAAGGCCATTGCGGGGAAGGTGGATGAACATCTGGGTAGGCATGTGATAAACCTTTCAGAAAATGCTTCAACGTGGGATGCCTGAAAAACTGAGCCGCCTGAGAAGTTGGTGGTTGGTAGAGACAATTGCTGAGAGGTAAACTCTAAGACAAGAAAGAGAAAGGCCGGTAGATTTAAGATGTAGGAGAAATTGAAGGACAGTGGAAAGAGATGGGTACTGTAAGGAAGCGGCTGTAGTGAAGGATTGAAATTTCTTCCATTTAGGCCTTTCTGGTTGAAGGCGTCTTTGCTTGATGGAGGACATCCATCAAGGAGGCAGAATCTTCCATGCTGCCAGGTGCAGAGCAGGTAAGTCTGGATGAAGTATCTGGGAGTTGTTCTGCATGAGGAGGTGTGGCAGATGGGGGAGGTAATAAATGTCTGATGATAGGTTGTGTAGGACTGTGAACCAAGGCTGTCTCGGCCACCAAGGGACTATGACAATGTCATTGGGTTTGTCCTGTTTTATCCATACAACTACTTTATGGTGGAAAAAGGTACGTGAGGGTCTTGGGTCAACAGTCAATGAACACATCTCCTTGGGAATGTCTGCTGACTCTGGCACAGGAGCAATAGCATCTGCACTTCCAATTTTCTCGTGAGGCAAAGAGGTCAAGAGTTGGTGTGGTCTTTACCCTGTGGCCCCTGCTTGTTTCACCAAACACAGAACTCACACGAGTATCCCAACACACCCTTTAACATGCTGCCACCAGTTGATCTCTTTATCAATCTATATTTCCTATGAAAGACTGAGGCCCATTCAGTACTGAACTTTTAAATAGAAACAGGTTTATAGATTACATGTTGTTTTAGGAATAGTTCTTAAGCACATTCTTAAAGTTACATCAAGCTTCAGTATTTTACTTTAACCTCTTCTGTCTTAATTAATACAGGTCACTAATCACTCCTTAAACATCCTCTCTCTGCCTCAAACCCCCAAACTCTTTCCTCTCTGTCTTTGACTGAACTAATTAGACACTGGCTCATCCCTCCCTTCTAGTTTCTCTGGCTCCGCCTCCCAACAGCTCTCATTGGTACATGCCAATAATCTTCTACTTGAGCCAAAGCAGGGTGATTGCTACATACCGCCTCCCTTAAAAAGTTTGTTTTATGAGGGAAAACTTACCAGTTTACCCTCTTAAACAAGCAACAAGACATTTAATACATTTATTAACATTCTTACCACACTTATAACTATACATGCTTGACATATGGGCTTCTGTCAATTAATACATTTACTATTTAAACTTACCACCTTATACAGTCCTGGAAACAATACAGTCATACACATTTTCCTCTAGATTAAATCAAACATTACAGAAAAATCCATAAACATTTACATTTAATCATTGGGTCTTCTGGATAAAGCGTCCACTACCACATTTAAAGTTCCTTTGATATTTTTAATTTCAAAGTCATAATCTTGGAGAATCAGTTTGCTACTGTTCATTTGCAAAGTTCCCAACCATTTCAAAAGTGAGTGCTCAGTGCACAGGGTAAACTTTCTTCTTATGTATGGCTTTAGCTTCTGAAGAGCTCAGACAATAGCCCAGCATTCTCGTTCAACAGTTGACAAGTGTCTCTCATTAGGTTGCAGTTTTTTGCTTATATATGTTACTGGGTGAAAATTCCCATTGATGTCTGTCTGGCAAAGAACAGCTCCCAGTCCAGCATTTAATGCGTCCGTATAAATCGTAAACTCTTTTTCGAAGTCAGGTGCCATCAGAATGGGTCTCGATGTCAGTGCTGTCTTGAGTTCTTCAAAGGCATCTTGACACTCCATGGTCCACACGATGGTCTTGGCCTGCTTCTTCTTTGTCAAATTGGACAGGGGTGCAGCTCTCTCACTGAAGTTCGGTGTGAATTGTCAGTAGTATCCAGCTAGTCCAAGGAAGGAACAGATTTTCTTTTAAAAATTAGGGATAGGCCATTTGTCAGTTGTCTCTATTTTATCCCCTAGGGGCTTGATATTTCCTCCCCCAATTAGATATCCCAGGTACTTTATGATCTGGCATTTGGCAGCTTGTATAGTTAATCCTGCCTGCAATATTCTTTGCAGCACTATTTCTAGGTGTGACACATGCTCTGTTCATGTCCGGCTGAAAATTCCTATGTCATCCATATAGGCTAAATCCCCTTAAGCCATGCAAGGTTCTCTCCACCAGCTGTTGAAAAGTAACCGGAGCATTTTTCAACCCAAATCCCATGAGTCTGAATTCATATAATCCTAGCGGACTACAGAATGCAGTTTTCTCTTGATCTTTTGGGTTCATTGGCATTTGCCAAAACCCCCAGGCTAAATCTAAACTTGAAACAAGGGGACATTTGCCCATAGTCTCTATCATGTCATCTAATCGTGGCATGGGATAGGCATCCACCTTCGTGATATGGTTCAATTTCCTATAATCAACACAGAATCTGACACTCCCATCAGGTTTATCCACTATAGGTGCTGCCCAAGGGCTCATAAACAGGGTGATGATATTAGCTTTCAGCATTTCATTTAATTATGTAGGGTCCAGTTATTCTATAAGGAGTAACAGCTATGGGTCTAGCATCTCCAGTGTCTATGCTATGCTCAGTCCCTTTTGCTACACCTGGTTTTGATGAAAATACAGATTTATAGTTCTGAAGATGGGCAGACACTTCTTTCTATTCTGGGGAAAGCGCAGAGCTAAGGACTAGATCCTTGGGATTGTTTTTAGCCTTCCCTCTGCCTTCCGAGCATAATATATTTTGTCCTTCTGTGTTTTCGGTGCTAGAAAATAAAACCAGGTTTTCTTTTCAGATATATGGCTTTATCATATTAACATGGTCCACTTTTTCAGATGCATTCCCCCCTCTGAAATATATAATTGACTGAACTCATCTTGGATACTACAGTGTAGGCACTTTTCCAAGCTAACTAAAGCTTGTTCCCTTTGATGGGTCTCAGCATTAATACCTCCTCTCCAGGATTAAACAATCTTTCTCTGGCTTTACGATCATACCAGGTTTTTTGTTTAAGTTGGGCCTCCTTCAAATTCTCCCCTGCTAGTTCTGAAGATCTCTGTAAAGTATTCATTAATTCATCCACATACTCAATTACAGAGACAGGATCCCTTTCCTTATAATCCTCGCAATTTTGTCTCAACAGGTCCAGTGGGCCTCAAACTCATCTCCCAAACAAAAGTTCAAAGGGACTAAAGCCTGTGCTCTCTTGTGGGACATCTCTATAGGCATAGAACAGAGATTGTATTTTGTGGTCCCAATCATAAGGATTTTCTGCAACATATGCCCATATCATCCTCATCAAAGTTCCATTGAACTTTTCCACAAGCCCATTTGTTTGTGGGTGATAAGGGGCTGATGTGACATGAGTGATGCTGCAAATTTGCCACAGCCTTTTCATTAATTTTGCTGTAAAGGAGGTTCCAGCGTCTGTGACTATTTCAGAGGCAAAGCCCATATAACTGATCAATGCATTTGCTATTGTCTCAGTTTCAATGTTTCATAATGGGATGGCCTTGAGATACCTAGTAGCGAAATCAATGATGCTTAATATAAATTTATTTCCTCTTTTGGTAGCTCTTGGCAGGGGTCCTACAATATCCAATCCTAATTGTTGGAATGGGGTTGAAATAATAGGTAAAGGGCACAGTTTAGCCTTAGTTTTGTTGTTTCCAGTACCCCTTCTCTGGCATGTATCACAAGCCTGACAAAACTGCTTAACTTGCTGACCCATTCCTGGCCAGTAGAAATTCCTTGTGTAGGCTCCAAAAGCATCACTATGCGCTTTGCTTAAAATCTTGTCTCTATATTTTTCAGGCACAATCAGTTGTTTAGCTTTCTCAAAGCACTGCATAAGGGTGGTATCCTCCTTCTGTTCCTTAACGGAAGATGAATTATTAGGGTTTTTCATAAATATAACTTCTGCCATTTTATCCATGTCAGAGTTTTCTTTTAAACTGGGGCCTTCCAGGTTACTTTCAGAAGTGACCATTTCCCCCCCAGGGATTGTTAACTGCTCTCCTGGGAATGTGTTACTACAAAAGCACTATGTACATGCCTAGTGAGATCTAATCCAATCAAACAAGGTGCTGGAATTTGATCAGAAATTGCCACATCCCAAATTCCAACCCAGTCCCGATAGTTTATCTTTACTTCAGCCATAGGTAAAGTCACTGGAATAGAATGCTGTCCTCTGAAGATGCCGGCCACAGAGACTGGCGAAATGTTAGGAAGAACAACCTTCAGAACATGGCCAAAGAGCCCAAAAAAACCCAGAACAACCAATCACTGAAATAGAACTTATTCCCTTGATTGTTACAGTTTGATTTGGAAGTATTTTTCTTTAAGAACCACATCAAGGTGACACAGGGTTATGTGGGAATAAGAATCAACAATTTCAGTGTAAGATGTCTCATTAATACAAATTTTCTCTCCAGAGTTCTGTAGTAAAATATTATCTGCCTTTATAAGAAAGCACTGAACAACTCTGGCTTGTTGTGCTAGTTGCCATGGAGACAGAACTATTGTTACAACCTCCTTCAGTGGCTTCCACTGGTTTTATACAGTAAACCTTTTTGGTCTGACTATCATCTTTTCCATTTTTACACTGGTTAAAATTCTTTAGAGTCTCACACTGAGCCCAAAAATGACCTTTCTCTCCACATGCATAACATTGTTTACTGGCCTTGGGTTCAAAATAAACGGCCTTGTTAACCTTTCCCTCTGAGCTATTATGTTTCAGGTGACTCCACTCTGGATGAGGGTTTTCTCTAAAATGGCTTCCAGTAGCTTGGGTACTTCTGAGGTAATCTCTACTGGGTGGGGGCTCTCTCCTCCTGTCGCCCCACAATTTTATACCAATTTTTGCCTCAGAAAATCAAGGATCTCTAATCTCACTGATGGGATCAGCATATTCAGATTTTTAGGATTTTTGTCTTTGACTAAATAATGCAATTCCCCAGGCAAAATGGAATAAAATTGTTCTAAACCAACCACATTTTTCATTTGGTCTAGAGAACTGACATTCTCACATTCCATCCATTTGTCCAAACATTGAATCAATTTAGCCCCCACTTGGGCATAAGATTCTTCAGGCTTTTTGGTAAGAGAATGACATTTTCTTCTAAGGTGTTCTGTATTTATGCCAAATCTAGAATATACCATTTTTCTATAGGCCTCAAAATCTCTAGCTTGCTCCAGAGGCATCTGAGAATAAACTTCAGCTAAATCTCCACTTATTTGTGATCTCAAAACTATTCTTTTCATCATCCTTAATCTCAAAGTCCCAGCACGCTCTCTCAAATGAAATCAGGAAAGATTCAGGGCAGTCTCCTTTCCTATATTGGGAAATTTTATTTAGATCGATTTTCGAGAGAATTCCCTCACTTGAGTTGTTAATATTTTTATTATTATTTTGAGCAGCTAGTTCCAATTTTTTCATCTGTATTTGAAATTCCATTTGTCTGTTTTCTTGCTCAAATTCCCTTTCCTTTTCTCTTTGACTTAATTCCAGCTCCCTTTCTCTTAATTCCATTTGTCTGGCCTCAGCCTTCTCCTTAAGCTCTAGTTCCCTAGCTTTTTCTTCAGCCCTCGCTTTCTCCTTCTCAAGTTATATGGCTTTTTCTTTAATTTCTAGTTCCATGGCTTTGAGTCTGCACTCCTGTTATAATTTCCATTTTTCAAAATCTTGGGATACTTTGTTTTTCTGAGGCACCCTCATCAGTCTCCTCCTGTTCCACTGGAGCTAGAGGGTCTCCATTTTCCCCCACTTCCTGAGGTAAACTTGTGCCTCTTGACTCCCTTTTTGGCTACATTTGGGTGGCATGTATAAGTCTGAGTGAAACAGTCTTTAACGTCTGTACTAAAGAACAGTTCATATTATGATATTTTGTTATTAGTAATAAAAAGAAAAGAAATATCTTTAGAAATCATGAGTAAAAAACTCTTTTTCACTTTTAACTCACAGAAGCTAGAAGTATGAGGCTCTTCAGCACAGTGGTTGAAAGAAACTGAAGGGAGAGTCTTGGTGCCAAGGTACTTATATGGAGGGGGAGGAGTCTATTCTAATTTCTTTCGTTTTTCTACAGAAGTTCTAGAATATTCCAATGAGGTTCCACACAGGCGCAGATCACACAAGGTGTGATTCACAGAGACCACAAAGAAGTACTACAATATACATATCAGTTATTCAATAAACCTCCGATTATGCATGTGCACAGAGACCACAAAGAAGTACTACAATATGAATTTAATTTAATTAATTTAAATTAATTAATTTAAAGTAAGGGCTATTATGCTTCTGTATCCACAATTCAAATTGCCTGGAAATGGTACAATATCATGCAGCCAGCAGGAAAGGGGATGCCAAGCTTTACATAGCAAAGGGCAGCCTGAATGTTGACGACACCCATGTCAGCAGTCAAAATGATCTATAGAATGCCCTCTGTGTTCACTACCATTTGTTCTAGGCATTTTAATACCTAGAAAACATGTTGAAAAAGAGCCCCAACAATTGCTTTGGTGGGAAATGGTTAACTGATGAAAAAAGGAGTCAGGTTCTAGGATTTCCTCCTACTTGTTGTCTCTTTGTGAATGGCACAAGAGGGTATGCTGTAAACAATCTTGGATGCTGCCACGGATGTTGTCAACATTCAAGTCAAGTCAGAATTGCACCTTTGTCCATCATACAAATGGAAACAAAATACTAGGGTCTGATTCAGTGACCCTGACAAGTTTTGGAAGGGAGCAGTTAATTTACCAGGGAATGTTTCAGATAATTTCAGAAGTCAAGTTATATGGAATTTCTGTCTGGTACAACTGGGCATGCATAGCTGATTTTACCATAGGAAAAAGATATTTTAAACTGGCATCATACTGGAATAATGAATAATTGATGCATCCTTCAAGTTGCTCAAAAAATACAGAGAAAGGATAGAAGGAACTCCAGGAAGTACTCCAGGAAACTTGTGTTATATTAGAGATGCATGATCTTGGCCAAACAAAGGGCAAATTTCTACTCTGACTGGCAGCCTGATGGTTCCACTCCCAGAAAAAGAGAGTCAGGCAGAAAAGCCAAAGGGCGGGGAGAAATACCGCAGGATAAAACAGCTTTGTAATCTGCCATTTTTAAAAATGGCAGTACAGTTTTCAAATGCTTTCCTATAAAAATTTAAATGTATTCCACAGTATTCAATGTATTCAGTGGTTATATAAAAAGCATTTCTTTTTATATAAAATTATAGGGTTTGTACCTTTATTGAGTTAATTGATTTAGGATGTCTTCACTCAGTATTTTCTGGCTTTCTTCCATGCTAGCAGGCAGTCAGAAACCACAAGTTCATTTTGTAAAAAGAAATGGTGTAAATAATTAACCACTTAATAAGTGTAAACAAGGTGGAATAAGTTGAAAATAGCTGCTGATCAGAAAGCCTCATTTATATCTTTTAAAAGCCTCATTTGGAGGAGTCTTGGGGGCATAACAATTTGCTTGGAGGCTGCATGATGCTACCCATGCATGGTAGTTTTGTAACTATATGCTTCTTCAGGTGTTTGCTGATCTATATTGATCTCAATATGGATTGATCCTGCTGTATAGCCAGGTTTGCCTAAGCAGAAATGTAAGGAAGTACAGTCCTAAACCCAATGCTTTGCTGCCAGCAAAGTATAGTCTAGCATGTACTATATTGTATAGTGGAGCCAGGACTCACAGGCTCAACGCCTTAGGTCTTTCTGAATAGCAGGGACCAGGACATCATCTGCCACACTTCTGAGTCTTCCCTTTTCTTTTAGTTTAGCTGCAACACACACATTAGCTGAGAGAAGAATCAGTTTCCCTAGGAACAGTGCAGTATATAGTTCCAGGCTATCTCTCTTACACTGCAAAGCTTTGGAGGATAGTTTGGTCTTGAATGGGCTTGTAGGAGCCATTAACATAACAACTTCCTTTCATTGCAAGGAGTTGCCTGTTGTTGGTGGTGCCATTTTTGTCAAAGTGGAGAGCATTCTATATAGTTCTACATTTCAGGGAGTTGCATGTTCTGTGTTTTGTGTGTGTGTTCTTAAAGACGAAGGCATTCTAAATGTTCCTTCATTGTAGGACGTTGGGTAGTGGTCTACTGAAAGAGGAGAACATTCAAAAACATAAGCCACCTAATGACACCCCAACATGGCACACACTATTCTAGCATTCTCAACAGAGAACAATCCACTCTTTTAAGTGCTGTCTGGTTTAAGTCCAGTTTATACTTTAAAAATCATAAAGAACAAGATCTGTCTTGAAGCTGGCTACCAACATTTAGCATCTAGACAGCATGCGTGCAGTGGCGCTCATGGGGGGGCCTGCTCATAAGTATGCACACAGAGGGCTTGCATGCTCACGACATGCTACACTTTAAAAATAATAAAAAACAAGATGGGTCTTGAAGCTGGCTATTAACATTTAGCATCTAGACGGCATGTGCACACCGCGGGGGGGGGGGGGGGGAGGAGATCTGTGTCGGTGGCCCGGTCCTGCCTAGGCCACGGACCACTGCCAGGTTGCAGACTGGGGGTTGGGGACCCCTGCTCTACAGGATCAAGTACTGTATTAAATGCCCGGTCTGGCCTGGCCTCCCCACCCTTGATGCTGTGCTGTCCCATCCAAGCTGCTATGTACATCTCCCACAATGCCCTGAAGTAATACTACATTGTGCAAATCACGGGAAATTTAAATGGTATCTGCAGTCCAGCTGGCCAATACCATCTCTGCTGCTTCGGTTGCAGTCATGCCATCAGATTGCTATTATCGGGTATCTCATGCCCTCTGGCATAAAAAGGGACCTGCTCCTCCTGTCCATTGCAGATGACTCTGCCAAGGGGGACTCTCAATTATGGGGCTGTTCCTTTCCTCAAAGCAAGAAAGGAAAATTGTCTGTCTTGCCTTTTGTTTCCTCAGATCCTGATATTTTTTAAAAAAGTAATTACTTCTATAATTTGTTATAAAACCCACCAAAACAGTTATTGCTCATACTACCAAAAAAGTAGTGTTTATACATTGCTCATTACTCAGTACCTTAAAAACGTAACAGTGGTATGAAAACAAAGCTTGGAAAATGCTCAAGATGCTTCTAAAAATATCCTAGTTCTAAAGTTAACTGGACATTTTTGTTATACACACCAAAAGGTACCCTCTTGTATTCTTTTGAAATGTAATTCCATTGTGATCTTGCGTCGAAAAACCGCAAAATTAATTCATGGCAGGTGGCTATGTCACTCCTCTCTTTGAGCGCTACTCTTGACAATGACAGAGCTTTTGCAAAGAAAATAAATACCATGGAGCGTTGGACATGCATGAGTCAAAGGGCATTTCAAGAGCAGTTTCTCTGGGTTTCAAACTGAATGGGAAGGCCAACAATATTCATGTGGCCTTCGTTAAGGCCAGGACACAGACTTACCTGGTCCCACGTTGAGGCTGGACATGTGGCTGGGTCCCTCCTGCAATGGCCAAGAAAGAAGATGGAGGCTGCCATATGGCATGCGGCCAAGAGGGACCTTGGAAAGCCCACACCGGGCCCAGCGGCACCACCCCCTATGGGGATAGGCCAGGCAGGGCAATGGGTGTGCTGGCAGACCTGAGAGACAGGGTTTACAGTCCAGTCTGCCTGCATGTTTTAAAGGAAGGGCAAGCTGATGTGGGAAGCCTCAGTTCACCAGAGATCAAGCCCCCTGCAGTTTGGAGTCAACACAAGCAGCAGCAGGACAAGAGGCGCCAGCAGAGGAGAGAGGAAGGCAGTACTGGAGAACCACCCAGCACCTCAACATATTCCCACTGGGTGCAGCAGAGAAGAGGAATCTGCTGGCCTGAGCCTGCCCTGTGCATACCCAATGGCAGGCGGGGGAGCCGATCTGTGGATCCCCTGGGATCAGCAGCACACACACATGCACACAAAGTGTGTGAGTGTGTCTTTAAAGGCAGACACAGAGCAGCCTACCTATATACCTCCAAAAAGAGCTAAAAACACTTGCAGGGAGAGGGTGAGAGGCTTCATCTGGGGGAAGCATACACACCTCCTCCCCAACCACCTTCCCCCTCTCATTCTTGCCATTCAACCAGGCACTGGGAGCAGACCATGCCCCTTGCCAAGAAGTGGGCAAGGGGCAGCCAGCCAGCTCTGGTTCAGCCATCAGGTCCACATAACATGCGCACTCGGGCAGGCCACCTGAGGCGCTCATGGGCTCCAATCTGCAAGGATTCTGCCACAGTCCCACAATGCCTACAAAAAGCTGGGGCCTCAGGTAGGCTGCACAATGCACCACCAGGCCTGAAGGCTCAGCTGTGCCCTCAGCCGAGGCAAGATATTATTTTAAATATTTTGTACATCCTGGCCAAAATAATGCAGCAAATGGGGAGCCTTGCAGAGGACCAGGCCAGCAGAGATGAGACCTCTGAACTTGGACCATCCAGCCACGGTTACAAGGAGCAAGCTCCATGAGAGGGCCTCCAGCAGCTCCAGTAGCCCTAGCCCAGAAAAGAGAAACAGGCAGCCACAGAAAAAGAAGAGGTGTGGATTAAAAAAGAAGGGATGACACTCTACCCAAGAAACAATTTTATCCTCCTCAGAGTCATCATTGGGTGAGTCCTCCTAGGATGGGGAAATACATGGGGGAGGCCAGTACTGAAGGGAGGCAGCCCACGGCCCAGGAATCCCTTGGTAGGCTGCTCATAACCAGTTGACCACATGTGATGGGGTGCAAGTAGTGTGGGGAATGGGTACCACTTCCTCAGAGAATTCCACCCCGTCCTTCACAGACAATGAGGACCCTCCTGGGATACATTCCCTGAGAAAAATTAGGAGAGATATACTGGAAGGATATTATGTTGATGTATTTTCCCTTCTCAAACCAGAAGGGGAGGAGGACCACGGAAGGAACAGGGATAGAAGCAAAAAAGGAGTGAGGCGGGAAGGGGTCAAGCGCACATTCTACAACTGGTCAGCTGGATATGCAGAGTTTGTTGGGGTAGTCAGGTGGTTTGTGCTGGTGGCACATAAAAAATCATTAGAGAAATGTACTGCGAGCAAGAAAGTTGGCAGGGGACGAGGCTGCTATTGCATACAATAGGAAGAGGGTGTCCCAGACTGCTACTGCAAGATGGGACCTCATCAACCAAGCACTATGGCTAGTGGAGGTAGGCCTGTATATGAAAGGAATGGTGGAGGGAACGAAGTC